CCGCGTACGATAATCGACGAAAAAATTTCGATACGTGCGTTTAATATACTGGACAATTTTATCCTCCCACAATCATATTAATATTAAATAAAGTAATATTAATATTTAATAGCACTAAGACATCCGTGCTTGCTCCTTATGTGCCGTTAATTTCTCACTATTAGTTTATCTATTTTCAAGGAGCTTTCTATTATTTCAGTTTAACATTTGTTTTAATATTAACAATTTTTTAATATATTAATATTTCTATAATTAGCATATAGAAGCATCAACAGCACCACTGGTGCTTTGATTAGCTGTCGCAACAAGAATTGCTGGCTAAGAAAAGTGGCTAAAAATTAGTTAGTTACCAAAAATTCCTGGGTAGTTACTGGTCAGATCAGACTGGGTAGAAACTGGACAAATTTCTACTTGGGAAGCTTGTCGGATATGTTAATTGGTTGTCAGATACAGAATTTCGAGGGTGCCCAGAGTAATCCCAGAAATACTCTGTCCTCCAGTCAATAAACGTATTCGAAAAGCTTATCGTATGACACATGTAATATTAGCATAAATATGTTAAAATTTATATTGTAAAGTCGTCGATAACATTAGAACGTTACTACAGAAATTTGAATTTTAACTATTTTTATTTTAAATTTGAAGCTGCACGTAGCATAGCAAATCAATATTCACAAAAAAATCGAATATTTCAATATATTCCAATATTTCATATATTTCAATATTCACAAAAAAAATCGAACATCGATATATCAAACTTAAAAAATATTGGCAATTAATAATCGATTTTTCGACAAAAAATTGGACGTATCGATTAATCGGTGAATATCGCGCATTCCTACCCAAAATAGTAATCGATCACTGTAATAGCTTTACCTCGGTGTACAGAGACAAATGTGTACGATTAGAAAAAACTAACGACTCGATTACGCTGTATGATCTTTAATTCAACTTGACTCGGCTGCAGTTTAAGCGAGAAAATTCGCGTAACTCCGAGACTTGGTTCTTTTCATCCGATTTTAACGTTTTCAGCGCACATGTTCGTTTTCGCAGTAAAGCTCGCGTGAAAGCTCGGTCGAAGCAAGCCAACGTTAATAACGACGAAACCGACGCGAATTCTGTTCAACGTCGGCCAGGTTTCATCAGCGCGTCAACTCGCGCGCGGCATTACGTCATTAGTTACTCCGAGTGCGCGTCCGATATTTTACTCCCGTAAAACGTAACTCCACCCCGAAAAACCGAGTCAATGGCGATTCAATTTCTGCCTGTCGCGGCGTCAAGGATTATCAAATGTTCCTCTCATCGCCGTCTCGAAGCGAGGATCAAAAGGGAACCGTAGACATTGACTGCCTGCCAAGATCCGAGGGATAAGTTCGTCATTGCGCGCGTAGGTGAATGGAACCCGTCTTTAATGGGGATCCCATGATGGGCAGGTAGATAAACGTACCGTGAATAGGCCGTGGTGAATGAATGGGTCGGGAGAAGAAACGGCAGAGGTGGAAAGAGAAGAGAAGAGACAAGACGCACGCACATTTCTTCCTCCTATCTCCTTTCGCTCCGCGTTTTATTTTCACGAGTTCTTCAGCGCGCGCATGCCCGGTGTGTTTATACATATATCCGTTTTCCGGTAAGTTTACATCGAATGACGTATCGTCGTAATTTATCCCCCGTTTACTCTTTCCCCCCTCTTCCTTCTCTCCCTTCGCGCACATGAAACACGGGCATTAACTTCGAAACGCGACAGCGAAAGATTTCTCGCGAGGGTGATCTCTGCTCTATCAAAGAAGAAGGAATAAACAAACGGAGTGTCGAAAAAATCAAAGAAATAATTTCGAGAAGGCGATTCTAAACGGAGCATATATCATCGACGTTCTCTTCATGATAACTGCAGATCGTAAGGACTCGTGTATAGTTTCTACGCGATTCGAGCTTCTGCTGCTGTTGCTGCTGCTGCTGTTGCTGCCGCTGCCACTGCTGCTGCCGCCGCTGCTGCTGCTGCTGCTGCTGCTGCTGCTGCTATACGAGTGTTTGCAGTCCACTCGAAACCTGTCCCGGACGAACACGAACGCGTGTGCGCACGTGTGGAGAGAGAGGGAGAGAAAGAGAGAGAAAGAGAGAAGGGTGGACGGAGATGAAAGTAGACGAAGATATACCACCGACAGCACCGAGGCCAGAAAGGTTGCTTAATTTGTCTAACGAGGGGTCCCTGCACCTGTCATCTGGACGCGGAGATGGACGAACGAACAAAGTGTAACCTCCTCCCCCTCGGCCGAGCTTCATCCCTCCCGGCGGAAATACCGTTTACTTGTTTACTCGCGCTTGCCCTCACCTCGCTTCGCCTCGCCTCGCCTCGCCTCGCCTCGCCTCACCTCACCTCACCTCACCTCACCTCACTTCACCTCGTCTCACCTCACTCCGTCTCGCTGTAAGATCGTCGGTTGCGCATACCGGGTTAATAATGCAAAATGTGAGTGCGCTTACACCTGTAGCGCTGCTGGCATAAGAAACTTACCTACGAACGAAAGGGAATAATTCTTATCTCGTTGGATGGACCTTTGACACGTTGAATGCCGGTACGTCAATCACCGGTAGCCAGCATTATCACACCGACGCGTCTCATTAATTTATGCATAATATATGATTAATTGCATTGTAAGGAGTTGCATATAAAATTTCACGTTACATTGTATATTACGCGACATCTCATACTACGTATAAGAAATTATAATTGCATATGATCGTTCAAGAGTCGGGTGACATCTTATCTTAGTATGGATGAGATTCAAGTCGTGTAATTGGTTGAAGACTATCGATTTCATGGAATCTTTTCAAGTTACAGTTAATAAATAAAATAAAATGCAAAAACGACGATGGAAGTGACCGTTGAAAGAAAGCGCGAGCTTCTTGCGTCCTTCACGGAAAGATCATTTTGTATCCTCAACACTTGCTCTCACAGCGAGGGTTCACTTTTGTCTGTGCGTGGCATTTACTCCCCTCGGTAAATCAATCACACACGAGACCATTGTACTCCATATAACGTTTTGTTTTTACGTCCGAGCGTGAAGATGCGACCGACCGGTACGGTCGAGTAACAATGAAGTGCAAGAATAAAATATAACAAACATAATAAATAATAAGAGAAGTCAGTTGAAAAAAAACTCAGTTATCGAAACACACAATATTGAATGCAAACTATGAAAACAATGAAGATAGATTATTTGTCAATAAGTGTCACAACTCTTTACATAGGGAAATCTTTTTCATAAAGAAAGACTATTAAATATCTCTTCGTGCATTCAATCTTTAACTATTCGCAAATAACGCGCGAATGCGAATTGTCGTATCGACCAAAAGGTGTGTATGTGTATGTGTGACGAAAATCACTAGATCCTCATTCGCTCGTTCAACAACGCGTGTGCAAAGAAGCGACTGGATGGATCGACGACAATGGAGTCACGGCGAGCGGCAAAGTCGTCGGTACAAAGTGATCGCTTTTGTGCCACGAGCAAAAGCATACGGAGAGCGCAACGGAAGCTAAAGGAGATGGATGAGTAGGCGAGGGGGAGGGAGAAACGTGACGTACGAGAGGTCGCGCGGGGTAGGCCGTACGTCTGCTAATTGGATAATTACGGAGTGCGCCGCGTTTGTTTTATAATTGGGCGAAACCGGGGAACCGTTCGCCGTTGCCTCGACGTGCCAAACAACAAAACGGCCGGAGTCACGCTCTACGTGACGAACTACCCCCGGAGCTAATCCCGGACGAGAGCCCCCTCGGCTTCGCGGTCCCCTGCCCCGCCAGCTCGTGTTCTCGACGAAGCTTCCCTGCGCCAGTACCGCCCCCGACAAGTCGATTCACCACCGCGCTCGTGTCCACCAACCCACGAACTCAGCACCCTCACCTTTCTGACACGAAACGAAACGCGACGCGAAGCGACAAGTCGCGCCACCCTCGCGCTCCTGAGAAAACCGACAGAGAGAAAAAAAAACGAAAAGACACAACTAATATTTGACGTATTCTCCAAAAGTTCACTTCTTCTTTCGCACGATCATTTCAAAGTTCGTGTCGCAACCTGAATGAAGGCCGTTGACCGTATACCCTCATGGGGGAGGATGTCCTCTCAACACGTGTAACCGACCAAAAGAAAAACGAGCACCTCCGCTCGATTTCGCTCAACACCGTTAATTCGAGGTGAGCCCTCATGCTTGATCGTGATAACTTCAATTCGACTCTCCTAATCTCGGTATTGTTGGAACGGCAGGAGTGTGGGAGGACTGATGGTGGCAAGGGGAGATGAAATAAGTAACCAGGAGGGACCGGTCCCAGTTAGAAAACAATTGACTGACTGACTGACTGATTGCGAAACGCTATTCTGTTAGGGTCGCCGCGCGCGAGCCTTCTTCGACCCTCCAATTCAATCCCTTCCACCCTGTTCCGTCAGCGTAAACACGTCCAGTCCACTACCTATGTGCCGCCGAAAGTCCCAGCGACTTATCGTTGATCGATACATCACCCTTGACTTTATCCGCGAAACCACCAATTCGTCAAAAAAAATAACGATTCGAAAGACCTTCTAATAAGAAATTTGTACGTAAAGTATACATGGCCGATTTTCCATGATTTTACGTGCGGTTTCCATCTCCATGTATAAAGCAGAATTAATTCCAAATTCCTCTTCAAATTCAAAACAAATCTGTATGATTTATCAGATTCATGATGCATATATTTGTAAATAAGCTATCGGTTTTATAGATTTTTACCATTCTTCTCAAAATAAAGCTCTTTGTTAAAAAAGTGAATGCTTCATTATCGGAAACATTTTGTCTACCTAAACATATCTTTCTATTAATTGAGATGATAGGTGTCCTATTGTATTAAAACAGCAGCCAAGAATATTCATGTTTTTTCTGTTCAGTGTGTTTTCCGCATTTCATAATTCAAGATTTCTAGCATTACACTGCATCAAGCATTAATGCGAATATATAAATATAGAACGACTTACCATGAAACGGTGGTTGATATAAATTGATTGGTGGAGGAATGTTGGCATATGTCTGCGATTGAGGTCGATTGTGGTTCGTGTGTCGTCTGTAAGGTAAAAAAATATCGTCTGATAAATTACTCTGTCTCGTTTGAATATTTTAGTACAATAGAATAACGATACATTTATTTCCAAAATAATTGAAAAAAACTTTCTTTTCTTTAATTCTTACATATACTTTCATTATTTCAATATGATATATTGTTAATTCGATAACTGCAAGTTTTCACTTACTTTTTATGAAAATCATAATTTTTTTTTAAATGCAAAGATTATATACTTTGTATATATATATAACCAACTGTTTTTATCAAAGTATAAAAAACTATGCTAAGAATTGGTTAAAGTGACGAATGATGATACTTACTCGAGCATTCTATGTCCTGCCTGTGCTAACGAAACAGACTGCGTGGATCGAGTGAAACCAATTTGTGGCTTCCATTGGTGCCTATTGTCACGATTCATAAGATCGAAATCTTGCGGTTTCAGGACGCGCGGCGGTTCCTTAGCTCCTTTCAGCTTACAAGCAGGAAAGATGTGGCTGCTGCTGTATTTTGGATCTTTGAATTTGACGCTGTGGATTAAGAGAAAAGTGCATTTGTTATAATATCAGTTTTACAAATAATATTATTTTTGTGTACATGTATATAATTTTAATTAGATTGAGTACCCGCATACGTACCAATATACTTTGTTGTTTCTAACTGGTAAACCTCTTACAGGCGAAGGTACCATGCCTCCCTCAATCACGCAATCTTCCGACAGGAGCACAGTACCTCGCATACCTTCCATACTTATTTCAAACTCCTTGTCAAATCCGCAACGATTTTGATATATTCCTCTTACGTAATTATAACCGTCATTTCCCATACCAACGTACAGCCTGTCATCACCGCGAACGTTTCTCTTTTCTGAAAACAAAAAAATGCGATATTAATACTATGTTAATTCAACATGCATAAAATGTTTGAAAATCATTAGAATCATTTTTTCTCGCCACAGATTCTAATCATGGAAACTAATGCTTTCAATAGATGATTCGCTTTATTTTCTTTATCTTTTAATTTGCTCAAATGTCTTAATAATAAAGTCTGAAATTATTTTTATACTATGTTAAAACACATGATGCATCGAATTCAAACTAATAATGTTATCCGTGAGTCTTTGAACTATAAACATTATGCTCAAATCAAAAACTCTTTTCTTTTTCTTTTCTTACATATATTTCATATATGTATCCTGAGCAGTGTTCATAGCGCACAAACAACGGCGTAACATCTTCTTTCGTTCCAGTATGTTAGCAAAACGATTGATTTTGATAATACTATATCCCCGGAAGTGTTAAATACTTTTAACAGTTCCCCTGTGAAGTCTTCCGGCCAATTTCCGGCTAAAAAAGAGCTCACTCTAACCTTTTCAAAAAATATGTGGCTAAAAGAAAATTCGACAATTACGCGATATATTATGTTAATTATAAAAGTGCTTGTATCACTTACTTTCTGCTTCTGTTAGGCTTTCATAATATGGCGCCAGAGCCTTGAATAATCTTTGCTCGTCAACAAATGGAAGTAAAGCCACACCTTGCCAAGCGAATTTCTTCCCGTTCAAATCGATCTTGAAATCTTCTGGGTAAAAGTCAATAATCTGAGATTTCTGTAAATAAACGATAAAATGACATGTTTAAATATAGAAACTTTTACGCAAATAAAAAAATAAAAAGATAAAAGTTATAAGTAAGATATAAGTTCCTTATAGATATAAGATATAATTTTGCAGACTATATTAAACGAAATAATAATAGGACATATTGTAATACATTGTGATATATTGTCATTTAATAAGATAAAAAGTGTAGTTTTCTTTTCAGGTCTTAGAATAAGAAGAATAAATGAATGAGTGTGGCTAAGATTTGATTGTAAACCAAGCCCCTTCTTGGCAATGTAGCTAAAGTAAAATCAATATATATATATAAGTTCCTTATATCTTCTTGTAATTTTATTTTTTATATTTTAAATATTTAGTCCACAGCATCAATATATACATACTGGATCGCTCATTAACTTCGCCCATGGTATAGGTACATGTTTACTACTAGCAGCAGGAAAAACGCCCATCAGTTGTTCTAATGGACGAAACTGCAAAATAATATTATTAGTTCATAGTGTAAATGTATATCTAACTAACACGAAACTAATTATAAATTAATAAACTTAATATACATCACAAGATTTATTATATTTACCGGTACAGTGTCTTTTTCAAATTCTGTAGAAAGACCACCAATATTAATAAAATCACTTGCGAATGGCGCGTAATGGTACGGAAAATACCATCTCCACGATGCGCAGCCTTGGTAATAATATCGCAGGACCCAGCATAAACCTCGTACGTATTGTAAAGCAACGTTATTTCTTCAAACAAATGAATACAATAAATACTTATATACACAAATTAACTTACTTTTCGAAATAAGTTTTTTGTAATTTTTATTGTAATATCATAAGTTCATATCATATTTAGAACAATGTAGTAATAAGTAGGGAACTAACAAGATTTGTATTTATAAAAATGCTATAGAATAGTTAAATTCTATTGTTACCTGAATGCGAGATTATCAGTAGACACACCAAATTTAGACTCATAGTAACGATCTTTGAAACCATCCTCCCAAAGACGCACTTCATCATGCGACTGCTCATCATCTGACTCAGCATTGATTTCCTCAATTTTACGTTTTTGCCCTTTGTTACTAGTGTTCTGTACAAAAAAGATTAGTAAACTTTAATCACATTATATATAGTATTATAAATAAATAAATGTATAGAAAGAAGTTAAAGTTAATACCTCAGGCCGTAACATACTCTCTAAAGCATGATTAGTATTCTTATTTTCAGCAACATTTGTGTTATAATTTCTCCCTTGTACACGCATTTGATAAGCTTCATAACGTGCATTTTCTATAGGCTTGACCGTTTGTCCAAGGGGCTGTAAGAATTTTGTAATATTTAATATATTTTTTATACTAAACTTAACGAATAACACCTGTTTTCATGAATATATTATAATTATACATTAAAGTGTTTAAAAACAATAGTGATTCTTTATATATTATATACAGCAAAGATATAATAAAATAAAAACCTTACATTAGGCGCAAATTGTCCTGCAGGAATCCATTTTGGTTTGAAATTACTGATAATTTCGTTTCTCCTCTTCTTATCTTTCTCACGTTGTTTGAAAGCCAGTTCATTTTCTTGTCTTTTCTTAAATATCTCATCCTCAACTTCAGCAAGATCTGACATTATTAATTGCACACGATCTAAATTGACATCTCCGCTGTCTGTCAAAAAGCCCTGTAAATGATTCGAGATTATATTTCGTTATCTTATCATGTTACCCAGTTTTTTCTAAAAAATACGTACTCCTGTTTTATATACTGCTTTCTTGTACAAAGTAACGAGTCTGTCTATTGCACCTTCTCTAATTTCTAAAGAAGGAAGATGAGGTAAAAAATCGTTTCCTACGAAGAAACACATAAATACCCAATCATCGACAGCTCGTTCGAAATCATATTTGAACGGCAGATTTGGCATAAACAACTCTTTTTCTAAATACTCTCGCAGAACGTTTAAACGCACGAATATGAACTGGCCCTCGGACCCGTATGCATTCTCCTCTTCTTTTTGATTCGGTTCCGCACCAGTACAGTCTCGCATTTCATGCCCTAACTGGCCACATATATCGCACGGTTTTGGTTTATTCGGCTTAAATTCTTCGCGGATGATAGTAAAATTAGGTTCATGAGTAGCAAGACCCAACATGATTAAATCTGCGTCTGCTCCACATAGAACATGTTGCGTATTGGGATCATGATCGGGTTGTGCTGTAAAATACGCAAAAGATATGATATGTCCATGTATGCCAATATATTACTAAGATTTGCATACTCGAGATAGTATTGTACAAGCATAGAAACGTACATCTTTGTCGTCGTATAAAATCCATTATCTTATGTTCTCCTTCACCAGGTACATTGGCGTCGCTCAATATCACTTTAATATTCCTCCAACCAGGGTCATTGTTCAAACGTTCGTGAATGTAATAATGTAAACATGCCGATAATCTTGCCATAAATGGTGTACCCTAAAACATAAGATAGCAAATGGTATGTTTGTATAAAGAGTATATAACTTCAACGATAGATCAAATCAATTATTGGGTTATGAAAATTAAATATTTATCTCAGAGCTCGGAATTAGTTGCCCATTTCGGCCGATTCTCGGGAGCTACGCCTTCTATCTTTCCCTTGCCGCAGCTTCAAGCTTGGAGCCGCGAGCGGCCGCGACCGTCACTTACGTGGCCTGCTCGCGGCAAGGGGAAGATAGAAGGCGTAGCTCTCGAGAATCGGTCGAAATGGGCAACTAATTCCGAGCTCTGATTTATCTATATAGAGTATTTGATGCAAGATACAATGCACATGTGCAAGTAAAACATGTCAACCTGAGCAAAATGATTATCCTTATCATTTTTTAAATAAACACAAAATTTCAAAAAATTAAGATCCTTGGTCCCATCACGTGGCAAAATCATAAAGAAAAATAGGTTGAAAAGAAAGATTGGGTGTCGCATTAATTTTAGAAATATTTATTGACTGTTAAGAGAAAAAAATGATTTTCGGAATATTTTACAAATATGCTCAAATGATCTGAAGTGTTATTTCATACAAATATCTTTTTATTTGAAAATAGCACGTAAAAATTTTTGACATATTTTCTTGCTTTTCACGACATTACCCAAGGTACCACAGTAATAGGATTAGGAGCTTTATATCTCGAAATTTTGATTATTTAAAAAATAATTTGCAGGAATCTTTCTGCTCTAACATGCTAGTTAACATGCTCTACGTATGTTGTCGTACTTTGCATCATTCTGCATAGACACTAATTTGTTGTTGCTACATACCGGTGTGATACAATTACTATCAAAATGTGCTTCCTTTGGTTTCTCAGGAGGCAAGGATGCACCCTTGAGAGACAATTCAGTACGTATTCTTTCTATTTCATTAATTTTTTCTGATGTTTCTTTTGATGCTCGAAATCGTCGGGATCTTTGTTGATTCATCTTAGCTCTGGGTGCCTGCATAACAAAACATTGTATATTGTAGTTTTATCTAGTTTCTCTTAGGCATAAATACTCTTTACATAAGATAATACTTACCACTCCATCAATTGCCATGTAAAGCAACTTTCTCGGTCTAACAATACGAAACAATCTATCAATACACTCAAAGATAGCTTCCATCATTTCATCCTCATCTTTAGGTGCTGGTCTATATTAGGAAAAACATAACAACAAATTTGGTATTTGAGACTTTTGTGATATCCATGAATATTAGATTTGAACATTTTAGTTCACAAAATATTGAAATCTGGCAAAAAAGAATACATATGGCTCAAACTTGGAAACAAAATCTAATATAATAACAAATTGATGTCGCATTGTATTAAAAGATGATAAATATCAGACAAATATCTTTTCACAGAACTTTATACTCACTTATCTTCTGGGTGTGTACAAGGATGTATTATACCATTCATATCAAGATAAAGATTATCGAATTCTACTCCGTTTGGATTTGGATCTGCAGAATTTACAGGAACACATACTCCGTCCGTATTTATGGACTGTGAGGTATCAAAAACAAATTTGTTTACATAATATATATATAATAAAAGAATCGCAATCCATAAACATACTTTATTTTTCACTTTGGAAAAACCAAATTTTAAAAAATACAACAGGCATATAACTTGATATTGATTTATATTGATATAAAATAAATATATATAAAAATTAACCTAACGTACCTTCTGCTCGATGCATTCGACAATTACGGAAGGGTATTTTCGACTTAACCATCGAAAAAATGCTGGTACACCCATCTCGTCGTTAAATTTGATTTAACAAAAGTTTACAAAAATTTCTAATTGTTTCACACGATATATATATTTTATCATATAAATATAATAATAATACACCACCATGAACATGTAGCAAAGTAAGCAAGCATAAGAGCAACTCAGGGTCGCCACGTTCTAGAAGTGTCATACCCTAGTTTGGGCTGCGTTCAGAACTGCGTTCCAAAATTCTACTCGATGGGTAGAGTACATTTAATTGACTAATTGGGCGCATTCAGTAGAAAAAGCGCTCAGTGAGCAATCAACGATTATTGGTTCTTGCTATTAGATCCCTAAATCTAGACCAATTACATTGACAAATTACTCAACTGTTGTGCAACTGTTGAGTCTGTTGAATGCAGCCATTGTTATAAAGAAGTCCTAGTTATCTTTGTTCTTATTGGTCAATGAAATGCTACTCTACCCGTCGAGTAGAGTTTTAGAACGCAGCCCAGGGAGTCGATTATTTATCTCGAAATGGAGTGAAAATTACAAAAGTGAACAAATTTACTAGAATATTGTCTCTTCATTGGTTAATGCCTAGGGAATTTGCTCACTTTTGTAATTTTCACTTTGTTTCGAGATAAACAATCGATTCCCAGATTCTTTATCCAGGGTGCGTTCAGATTCTTCATTCGGGTACACTCTATTACTAGAAACACTATAGTATATGTTACATATGCTATAGCACTTCTAGTAATAGAATACACCCGGGTGTGGAATCTGAACACAGCCCAGAGGGCCGATTGTGTATTTCGAAACGAAGTGAAAATTACAAAAGTGAGCAAATTCACTAGGCATTGACCAATAAAGTTACAAATATTCTAGTAAATTTACTCGTCATTTTCACCCCATTTTGAGATACATAATCGATCCCTAGCTGCACTATATTACTAGAAACACTATGGCCGGTATTCATAGTCAGATCTTATATTTAAGACCATCTTGAGTTTATCTTCAGATGATGTACGGATCATTTCATTGGCTACGGAGTATCTAAAGATGAACTTAAGCAGTCTTAAATATAAGACCCGATTATGAATACCGGCCTATAGTATGACCGATATTCATAGTCGGATTTTATATTTAAGATCATCTAAAATTCATCTTTAGATGGTCTACGGATGATTTCACTGGTTACAAAACATCTAAAGATAAACTTAAGACGGTCTTAAATATAAGATCCGGCTATGAATACCGGCCTATATGTTACATAGGCCGCGTTCCGTTTCACGTATATGCGCGCATTTATCTACAGTTCACTTTACGTATACTGTAGGGAATGCGCGCATAATGTGTAAAACGGAACGCAACCATACTATAGCACTTCTAGTATTAAGACCCTTGCACAATGCCAGGCTACAGGTAATAGAAATAGGTATTAGCCAATAGAAACAGGGAATAGAAACAATTGACCAATCCGAATTCCTATTTCCTGTTGCCTGGCATTGTGCAAGGGCCTTTATGGCTCCTGCACACAGGACGCGGTAATGCTTGCCGCGCGGCGGAAGTTCGCGTGATAGCCAATCAATATGCTGCTTTCCGTAATAACCTTCTAGCTCTTACGGAAAAGCAACATATTAATTAGCTGTCGCGCGAACTTCCGCCGTGCGGCAAGCATTACCGCGTCCTGTGTGCAGGAGCCATTAGAGTGCACCCGGGTAGGGAATTTGAACGCAGCCCTAGAGAGGACACCGATTGGACACAACCAATCGATGCAAAGAATTCTGGAATCTAAAGTGTCATTTTGCACTAATTTTAAAGACACTATAGGTTTGTTTTGTTTGCTTTTTTTGTATTTGCTATTTCTGCTCTTTCTCTTCGACATTCAAATATATAATTGTTTCACTTCAATGGTAGAAAATGTTAAGGAGTCTAGTAAAACGAGTATGTACACGCACCGACGTTAATGCCGTCCGAATATCCGTGTGACTCGCACACGATAACGCGTCACTCATACACTGCTGCGTGTAGATGAGTCATGAGCAGCACGGAGTGGCGGAGGGAGCTAGCGGTATACGATCGTCGGACGCTTGGAGAATAGTGGTGGGAGTCGCGGCGATCTTCCATCCTCTATCGCAAACGTAAGAACGAGAGAAATAGCATTATAAGACGTCTGGACAGAAATGCCGTCCTAAAATACGTGTGACACACACTAAGAAAACGCTTGACTCACACTATCTCGTCTATACGTAAGCAATACGCGGTGTCCCGACGACTGTTTCGCTCGCTCGAACGTTCATGCATTTTTCATTGTTAGCAAGGAAATTACTGTAATGTAAAAATCTTGGGGAAAGGTTTTTAGGAGGCTTTGACAAATGCTTCTTAATTGCTACTCTTGAAAAAAAAATAAATATTAGATTTATTTTAATATAGAATTCTGAACCAACATAGAATATGTTGCAACAATATAACGTTTGTGTAGGTTGTCGATCGAAGAAGAGTATTTTTAATTTTATTGTTGCATAAACACGCGAGATATAATTATTTCATATTTTATGCGTTCGAGTATCGTTCCATCGTTATAAAATTTGGTGACTCTAAAAAGGGCCGATTTTTGCGCCTGTTTCAAATAATTATTGTTCCTTATTACTATGGATACAAAAATGCGACCCGTTTCTACTATTGACTATCGACCTCAACTGCTTCGACACAAAAATCGGCCCTTCTCAGGGCCACCAAATTTTATAACGATGGAACGATACTCGAACGCATAAAATATGAAATAATTATATCTCGCGTGTTTATGCAACAATAAAATTAAAAATACTCTTCTTCGATCGACAACCTACACAAACGTTATATTGTTGCAACATATTCTATGTTGGTTCAGAATTCTATATTAAAATAAATCTAATATTTATTTTTTTTTCAAGAGTAGCTATTAAGAAGCATTTGTCAAAGCCTCCTAAAAACCTTTCCCCAAGATTTTTACATTACAGTAATTTCCTTGCTAACAATGAAAAATGCATGAACGTTCGAGCGAGCGAAACAGTCGTCGGGACACCGCGTATTGCTCACGTATAGACGAGACAGTGTGAGTCAAGCGTTTTCTTAGTGTGTGTCACACGTATTTTAGGACGGCATTTCTGTCCAGACGTCTTATAATGCTATTTCTCTCGTTCTTACGTTTGCGATAGAGGATGGAAGATCGCCGCGACTCCCACCACTATTCTCCAAGCGTCCGACGATCGTATACCGCTAGCTCCCTCCGCCACTCCGTGCTGCTCATGACTCATCTACACGCAGCAGTGTATGAGTGACGCGTTATCGTGTGCGAGTCACACGGATATTCGGACGGCATTAACGCCGGTGCGTGTACACTAGAGTGACGTTTCCAACGATTTTGTTGGATACCTGTTATCTCAGAAAATATCTTAGATATTGTGTAGCTAATAAAATAACTTTGTGTAACAGTGTTCTTTTTGCTAGAAAATAGCTAATATATTCTTCAGAAATTTTCTATATTATATTGTAAACGTCATATTTCTTATTATTTTGATAAAAAAAAATGGTTAATTTTTAATGAAAGAGAAAGAAAACGAGAAATAACTACGTTATTCTCGTTCGAAATATATAAATTTTATTGTTATATAAAATTTATTCGTTCTTGTTATATGATCGCATTTATAGATATTTAGATTTATGTTGTATGATACAAACCCATTTTAATAAATTCTCCATAAACAAAAAAAACTTTTATATAAAAATAAATAGACAATTTTTTATATCTTGAAAACGACTTTACCTAGAACAAAATTATACTGACTTAGAAACCATTATATGCTAAGGACATTTTTATCACAATTAACTCTCATTTGGAATATTTTCTGCTATGATCATTTGTTTCAGAAATAATAACAGGAATTGAAATAAAGAGTATCCTGCATATACTAATTGAAAAAATATAAAAGTTTTGTCTTTTAAAGTCAATTTAAATCTCGATCCTTAACGACATTGTAGACAGTGTTGCTTTATTATCGATTTGGAGACGTCTGCACGACCTAAAATATACAAAGTATTTTATAATTACCTTAATTACATAAAATATACTTATATTCGATATAATAAATAAGTGTAATAATATCTTTGAAATACCTCATTCTATAGGTAACAATTATTAACTAACATTAATGTAACAAAACAGACGTTACCTAATTGCAACTCTATGTACAAAGCCAGCATTATTATTTGTATCGGTACATCACAATCTTGTGGTTTTGATATCCATATCTGGAATAAAAAATGTCTTGTATTACTATGTTACATTAAGAAATGAATTAAATCAGTTTTAAAAAACACACTCACCTGTTTTAAAGTTTCTCCAGATTTGTCTAGTTCGCCACGTATAGCGTAAGCCACAGCTAAGTTGTAACGTAACACAGCAACACCGGTAGAAATTGTTGTAGGATACCATGCTGTAATTTCAAGGAATTGATTTTTAAGTATTCTATTTTGTGTTTGAATTTGTATCAGTAAAACATTATTAGAAAAAATATCATAAAAACAAGATAAATGTACTTATCTCTGAACAATTAAGAATTATGAGAATACTATATACATGCTAGTCATAAAGAGAATCATATTAAATAAAAAAAATTATTTTCTAAGCTTACTTTTTATAGGCTTTGCAACAACTTCCTCTGCTTTGTCTTTATCTTTCTCGGAAACTTCTGGCATGGTCGTGAATGTATTTAAATCTTGAAGATTTTCCGGTTTGAGGTATTCGAGAGCCTCACTGATCTTATCCATGAATATCAGGCTTTCAGCAGCATATAAATTGCCTAACATTCTATACGCACCCGGCAGTTTATTAAAGCTCAATAGTGCTTTTGCATGCTCAAGGGCAAGCGTATAATCTCCAAGGCACAAGGAAACATATGCGCTAGCGGCCAACACGCTGATTTTTAAATTGAAAGATTCAATAGCCGTGGCTTGAGACATTGGCGTTGTATTATGTTGCACACCTAAAAGTATTTATATAAAATACAAATTATTACAAATTGTAAAGTCACGTGCAATAGTGTTTGTGTCATAAAATGTATACCTAAATTTATGTCTTAAAATTTATGTTTTAAAATTTATACCTAAATTGTGGCCAGGTGTTAATGATAGTGATACTGTCTGTGAATTTGTAGTAGTTGTCGTTGGTACATTTGACTCATTATTATTTGGCAGCAAAAATAACGCATTTTTCAAACACAAGGACCCGAATTCCAACATTGGCTGTGGGATCGCGTAGGATAAGCCTTCAGAATGATAATTGACCTTTTCCGAAAGAGACGTGGCTAATATGATCTTTCTGTAAATACCAGAACCCACGACTTTCTGCACCAAATCCTCACGTCGTCGTAACATCTTAAAATCGACTTCATTTGACTGGAAATTATAAATAACTTATTATTAATAATTATTACATTAAAAGCAACATATATGATTTTATTGTGCAAATTTATCTTCGTTTGAATGTCAAGATAAATGAAGAAAGATATTATAAACAATTCACTTTTTACTTTTAATATAAAACATAGATATAATAAGTCCGTAGTCGAAACTAAAATTTCTTACTTATGCAGATTAGTAACGTAAAATTGGGAGAAAAATTAGTAATTAATAAGCCACGGCTATTGAATTAGTAATATCAATTATATCAATTGTAACTTACGTGTTTGTGACAATAAATACAACATTCTGCCATTCTGAGCCATAGCTTAGGATTATTGTGAAACCTCTGCGCCGCTTCCGTAAAACAATCAAAGGCTTTTGATGCTTGACCAGCATGTAATAACGATACTCCTAAACTGTACATCAGCTCGTAGTGTTTGTTACTACCAAGTGTGTACAAAGGTTGAGAAGATAAGGCATCTATATAAAATGTTTTTTTTAATATTAGCATACACAATAATTAAATTAGATAAAGCATCTATATAAAATGTTTTTTTTAATATTAGCATACACAATAAAGCAAATATATATACTCGAAAATAGAAAAATAATTAATCATATTAAAGTCATTAAAAGTGCTTATATCTAAAAAATTCCATGATTCCAATGCATTCCATAATTGAATATAAACCCAAGTGAGTCGAAATGAAACCAGATAATTACCAGTATCTTTAACTTGTACACTTTCTACTGCGCATTTATTTTCGTGAAGAGCTTTTCGCAGGTAGAAACAAGCCAAATTTGGCTTATCCATCGCGAAATGCAAACATGCCATATTATTATAATATAAAACGGCCAAAGACTCCCCACACGACCTGCAAATCATACATTAATACAATATATTTTAGAAATACTGAAACAGGAAGTAATTTTATCTATTTGAAATATAACATTTATGTAACAGATATAAGTATTTTCAATTTAAACTTATTTATTTATATCTAATTTACGCGCACGACATACTTAAAATCTAAGTTTTCTGTAGTCGCAGAATTTAATAATTTCATTGCCTTTTTATGATTTCCTCGCAAATATTCCAGATTAGCTTTCAAAAAAATTGTTGATGTGTTCTGGAAACAACAATAAAGTAATAAAATTTTCATGAGTTTTCTATAGTCACACATTAAAATAAACTAATTTAAATAATATAATACATCAATAATGCTGTAGTAACTGATCTTATTTTGTAAACTGTAATTATTGTAATTAATAATAATATTACCACCACTGGTGTACCCAGTGAAACTAATGTCTTCCATTCTTTTTTACAGAGTTTTAATTGATGGGTCAGAAGATATATCCTTGCTTTATATTTCAAGAGTTTTATCTTGAATGCATCTGTTGCTGAATCACTGACACCTTTCTTTTGTTCTTTCTGATCCTTTACAGATTTCATCACACCATCTTTGTCAACAGATGATATCTTGGAATTATCAGTAGATACAAACTGGCTCTCTATATAATTTAGTATTGAAAGAGCTGTATCTGGTTGTTCTGTTATTATATATAATTCAATTAATAACAAACAAACTTTGTGTGCTAAAGTCTCTTCTGCAAATAATAAGCATATATGAATACATATCAAAATAAATAAAAGAAAAATATTGTACATATGTGATTGTCAATCATTATACACACCCATTGGTTCGATGAAAGCAAAGAGTCTATTCATAATTTGAATTGCTGCATTATACTGTCTGGTATGATATAACAGCACAGCTTGATTGTATCTCATGACACACTTTTCGACATCATCGATAGCCTCACTAGAGTCTGCCGTTGATATTTGGCCACATATAGCATTCAAGCTCTTTCGCATCAACTCAGTTTTTTTCAAATCGCTCTTATAATATTCTACGACAACTTTGTTGTGTGTAACTTTAAGATCCGTAGGCCTGAGGCTTTCTAGCTTGTTTAAATGCGACAAGCATGATGCGTAGGAACCTTTCTGAAAGTCTGACAGTGCATTTTGTGCCAAAGTACGTTCTTGTTCAGTTATAACGGAGACTGCACTGTCTTTAACTTGTGTTTCTGGAATTTCACTCATAATGATACGATAATATATAATAATTACTTTTTATTATACGATTATTTAATTATTAAATAATTGCAAATTCTTATAGATTCTCATTTTCGTATTCCTTGGTATTTAAAGTTAGGTTATGTCAGGTTAGGTTATGTACCAACAATCTAGGCAGGGGCGATATTGAGGTTAGAGACAAGGGAGGTCTGCAATAACGATAAACAGTAATGAGAGATTGGGAACAAGAGAAAATAAAATGTTTTAAATGGAAAAAGTTAAAAAAGTGTTACAAAAGTTTATGAATAATAAAGTTCATTAGATTATAATAAGTGCTTAATATATATTTTAAAATATTATATGTATTATTAACATGAATATTAACAAAAAAAATAGAAAATTATATGGATGCTACGAAACGTTCGCTACTAATCTAAACACGAGTTTACCAACCAACCAGAGGTCAATGATGTTGCTTGTTTCCTCTCCAGAATTGTCGGACGATTTTGAACAGTGATTAAAATTAACTGTCTCAGGTATAAAGGCATTAAATGTAATAATTCATAAATATTTTTTGATAACTCGTAACAGCGAATATACACGTCGACGAAGTTATCTCCTTGTAAAATACTACCTAATCACGATTATTATAAGATGCAGAAGTTTTGCCCGCTGTGCATGAAGAATGGTGTGAAAAGTAAAGTGAAAGCATTTCAAATCAACCTAGACGAAGCAGTATGGAGCTGTGAAAGAATTGATGTAAATACTAATTTTTTCTAGATCTTCACTTGTATAATTAATAATTAATATTAATATAAGAATATAAATATTCTTATATTTGTGCTTACAATTTTGCTTATGTTTCAGTGTATCTGGCCTTTAGGCTATCAGAATCTGAAATACTTTCAAAGATCAGCAATGACATGTAATTGGGATGAATACGTCAATGAAGAATCTACACCTACACTATCAGAACTTTCGCTTTATACACCACCTATGACTCCTAGAGAAGAGGCTCTTGAATACTTGGCAAATTCTGCAATGGAAGATAAATCTAGTGAATCTATTAGTTCAAAGAGAGAAAGTACAGACTGTAATAAGTCATCTGAGATGGCAGATAATAAGTTTACAAAGGAAAAGAATATAAGTAGGAATGCTAATAAGCAAATGCCTGAAATTACAAATATTGAGAAAGTTCACATTGATATTAAGAAGTTTTTTCAACATAAGCATCTTAATAATGAAAAAATGCAAAAGCACTTATATGAAACTTCTATAGTAAATACTAAAGCAGATTCTAGTGTTCAGTTTGCTACCACTGAAGGCAGTGATTTTAATTTGCATACACAATGCAAAACTGAAAAAGAACAGAATAAAAGTGACAATGTACAAGCAAATAAAGCAATAACTTGTTTAAATGCAAATACTAATATAAATATATCATCAACATCTACAAATTTGGAAGTCAATGTGAACATTTTGAATAACTCAAATACAACAAATAATCATACAGCAAATGATACACTAGATACTGTAAATTCCAATGACTTAAATCTAGATGAAATGTTGGACATTATTTTGAATGATAGAAGTAATAATAGCCAAGAAATAGATCATGATTGGCTAGATTTAATAAAAATCTAATTCATAGAATTTTATTCAAGATAGTTTATATTTTTTGCTATTTGATGCCATTGCATATCCGAAGTATAAATATGGCTGCGGATAACAACCATGTTCCTTTTGTATTTTTCTAATGAAAAATTTTTTTAATAAAATATATGAAGTGATAATAGTTCAGTAAGATGTAAATATATATGGCAATTTGTTTTATTTACACTTATTTGTATTTTTTATTGTTACTAACACGATAATTATCTAATAAAAGAGAATAGAAAAAATGTTTTTATTTACCAAAATCCACTATCAACAGTTTATGCGAATAATATCAATGTAATGCATTGCGATCTGCAATTTGAATATAGTGCATTTAAAAACGCGCGTAGTCTTCCAATGACTAATGGCTCTCGCAGCCAGCGCAATTTGCGACGCGACACGCGATATGCGATGCGCGATATCCAATGAGCGTACAGCTTTTCCGGAATACTAATACGCTCATTGGATATCGCTCGTCGCATATCGTGTGTCGCGTCGCGCATCTCACTGGGGTGCTATTCCGTTACCGCGGTTCCGATAGTTGTCGGATCAGTAGGTGTCGTTGCGCAGTTTTTCCACGGTATAAAAAAGCTGCGCAACGACGCCTACCGATTCGACAACTGTCGGTATGCGGGAACGGAATAGTACCCCTGGTTGCGAGAGCCATAAGAGTTTGTCCACAACCTTGCTTTAATCTTTAAGTCGTAATAAATTGACCAACCACAGTCGATTATTTTAAAAATAATCAACTGTGGTTGGTCAATTTCTTACGATTTAAGGCTGAGTTCCCAATGAGCGCGTCACGTGTCGCGTCGTTTGCCTGCGTCACGAGTTAACCAATCAAATCGTTCCATTGGAACAAGTGTGTCGTACGTCGCACGCGTATCATCCCAATTAGAGGATTTGATTGGTTAACTCGTGACGCAGCAGACGACGCGACCCATGACGCGCTCAGTGGGAACTCAGCCTTATTTTAGTATCGGTCTAGTGACACGCTAGTAATACACCAATTAAAACGCAGCATTCCTAGCATGCCACTGGAACTTATAGCGTGTTCGATTGGTCCTGGGTTAATCGCTCCGAGAGCAATTAATGACGTCATAAGTCTCTACTAGCCAATTATAAAGCTTATAAGTACTTGTTCGACCAATAAACGTAGGCTGAATAATCCAGAGTAGGTTAACCCAGAACCAGTCGAACATGCTATTATTACATCCAGTAAGAAAACAGGAGTATAATACTGATCAAGAGCTATTGAGAGAGAAGACACCACTAACAACTGTAACGTCTGCTGATGTTTTCTCTCTCGATCGGACGACGTGCGAAAAAGATGCAACATCGAAATGTCTCCCACCACTTCCCCTACGTGTCTTCTTCGCTTCTCTCGCGTTGTACGTAAGACGTACAGTACGCCCTCCGTATATGCCTGTTGTCGCTTTCGACTATTTGACAGACGTATACGGGCTCGCCGAGAGACACCATACTTGCCTCTGAGCCCGTATCAGACTATAAATTAGGATTGAGATTAAATTGAAATTTAGCCAATCAGAGCAAAATTCACTAAGCTTAAGTTTGGTGAACTTTGCTCTGATTGGTCAATTTTCAATTTAATCTCAATCTTAATCCGTAGTCTGATACGGACTTGAGTGTACACAGATTCAATCGGAACTAGCCCAATTTTCGCTCGGCTAAAAACCGATCTAGCCCAATTTGCGATCGGTCGCTAAAAAGACATTTTTACTCGCAAAATTGCTTGCCAAGTAGCCCAAATCGAGAAAAATAGCCCAATCTGATACCCTTGACTTGACTGGATCGGGACTAAGTCCCGATTTACAATAGGTGTAGTAAGCTTTAAGCCGTAAGAAATTTATCAATCACAATTGATTATTTCTCTATAATTCCTATCTCTATCTCTAGGTTCTCTGTTTGTCAACCAATAAACATATCCGAAAAGCTTGTCGTACGACACATGTAATATCAGTCTTAGTACAAACCCATGCAGCGGAATAGCGGAGCGCGAAACGAGAGCGGAACCAATCACGCGCGTTCCACAGTTTTCGCTCATGATTGCTTCCACTCATGATTGGTTCTGCTCTAGTCCCACGCTCCGCTATTCCGCTGCATAGATTTGCATCCTGGGGCTATGTTACGAAATTCACTGTTAATACTGAAATTCTATAATATACGTAACATAAACTATAGATTTTCAGTACTGGCAGTGCATTTCGGAACGCAGCCATCGTACAGGAAGAAGTTTGACGTCATCATCACCCGGCTCAAGGACCCGTGTGATTTTTCCATCCTCCTAGGCTGCGTTCCAAAATTCTACTCGACGAGTAGCATTTAATTGACCAATAAGAGCAAAGCTAACTAGAATTTCTTTATCATGATTGGACAATTAAATGTACTCTACCCGTCGGTAGAGTTTTGAAATGTAGCCCTGGTATTCTTTATTCAATGATCGGACGTGACATCATATATTTGCGTTCTAAACTTTACTAGAAAGTTTTTAGATACATGGGTGATGGTTTTTAAGAATAGCGCGTCGGCGGTAAAGTTGTAAGGTTAGGATCGAGTGTTTGTATTTGGAATACACAATTTACTGAGATTTTATAATTGTCCGATTATAAGCAAACACTTTCTTGATACTTTTAGAAGAAAAATCGATAGCAAAGAAAATGGATTTTCTAGAATATCCTGATATTGTCGCTGAAGTTAAGGGTGCTATGGTAAGAAACTTTGGTTGCTTTTCATATAGTCTTGCACAATTGATTGTAATTAATAGTACAAATTTTTATTTGTAATTAATAATAAAAAGAGGAGACTTCCCGTGATCCGTAACCTCACAATACAATTAAACTAACGGCATCTTCTCTGCCACGTGTAATGCTGATATTTAATTAATAAATTCTTGATCCCAAACTCGATGAAAATACATGAATGTGTTGATTAAGATTGTCTTGTTTTTCCTCACCAGACACCAGGTAAACTGAAATTGACTGATCAGCATCTAATTTTTAAGAGTCAGAAAACTGGTAAGGTAGAGCAAATCTCTGCTTCAGACATGGAAATGGTAAACTATCAGAAATTTATTGGCACCTGGGGATTACGTATCTTCTTAAAAAATGGCACTCTGCATCGCTTCAGAGGTTTCAAAGAAGCCGACCAAGAAAAGATAGCAAAATTCTTTTCTGTAAATTACAAAAAGGAAACTTTAGAGAAAGAACTGAGTTTGAAGGGTTGGAATTGGGGCACTGCTAAGTTCACAGGTTCTGTCTTGAGTTTTGACGTTGGTCATCATACCGCTTTTGAAATACCTTTGTATGATGTCTCACAGTGTAACACAGGAAAGAATGAGGTAACTTTGGAGTTCCATCAGAATGACGATGCTCCAGTTAGTTTGATGGAAATGAGATTTCATATTCCTGTTAGTGACAGTGCAGATCAAGATCCTGTAGAAGCGTTTCATCAACAGGTAAGATAAGATCTATAAATTTACAAAATAAATGAATTATATATATATATATATATATATATATATATATATATATATATATATAAAATTCGTTTATTTTACACACACACATATATATATATATACATACATATATAATATTTCTGAAACATACATGTGTGTAAAGAAAAAAATATATCTACATATAAAATAAAAGTTAAATAAAAGTCCATTGAAAAAAACTAATTTATTTGTTGATTATAACAGGTGATGGAGAAGGCCTCTGTAATCAGTGTGAGCGGTGACGCAATCGCCATATTTAAGGAAATTTATTGTTTGACACCACGCGGTCGTTACGACATCAAAATCTTCCAGACCTTTTTTCAGCTTCACGGAAAGACATTTGATTATAAAATCCCTATGTCAGCTGTTTTAAGACTTTTCCTGCTACCTCATAAGGACAATCGGCAGATGTATTTCGTCGTAAGCTTAGATCCTCCTATAAAGCAAGGTCAAACACGGTATCATTATCTGGTGCTGCTATTTAAGCAAGAGGAAGAAACCTTCATTGAATTGCCGTTTACTGAAAAAGAACTGAAAGAGAAGTATGAGGACAAATTGACTAAGGAGTTGGCAGGACCGACGTACGAGGTGCTCGGCAAGGTTCATAGACTTACCTTATTATCTTTAGATCATTATTCGAATATTGTGAGAGAAAGAGAACCAGTCGCGATTGTTATTACTATTATTAAATTATGTGAGAATAATGATGTCTGACAGTATCAATGTACGTTTCGCAATATTGGGCACATGCTTTGATATTGTCAGATATTATCACCCATAGTTCAATATTCGCACCAACAACCGCGACTGGCTCTCATTTTCTATCTTTCCCTCACTTGATTGTATATCTAAGAACCATGTTTAAATAGTTCATTGCTTGAACTTTGTTCATAAACCACTCGTTTGCATTATAGGTCATGAAAGTGATCATTAACCGCAAGCTGACCGGGCCCGGACACTTCACAGGTCACACCGGAACTCCTGCGATTGGCTGCTCATTCAAAGCCGCTGCTGGCTACCTGTATCCGTTGGAGCGTGGCTTCATTTATGTGCACAAACCGCCGATACACATACGTTTCGAGGAAATCGCGTCAGTGAATTTTGCCCGCGGCGGTGGCTCCACCAGATCATTCGATTTCGAGATTGAACTCACGAGCGGAGTAGTGCACACGTTCAGCAGTATCGAGAAGGAGGAGTACGGCAAGCTGTTCGACTTCATCACGCTGAAAAAGCTGCGCGTTAAAAACCGTGGCAAGAGCGATAAGCTCAATTATGATCAGGACTTCGGCGACAGCGACCAGGAGGATGAACCGGACGCTTACCTGGCGCGTGTGAAAGCGGAGGCGCAGGAACGGGACGGCGAAGAGAATCAAGATTCTGAGGAAGGGTCGACCGACGAAGACTTTAATCCAAATCAAGACGAAAGCGACGTTGCTGAAGAATACGACAGCAATCCCCGCAGTTCTGAGAGTGGTGAAGACTCGGACGCGTCTGCGGCTAGTCACAAGGAGAAGAAGGAGAAGAAGGAGAAAAAAGAGAAGAAGTCCAAATCGGCGAAGACGGTGTCGGAGAAACCGCGTAAGCCGCGAAAGCCAAAGAAGGAGAAGGACGCGAACAAGCCCAAGAGGCCGCCGACGGCGTTTATGTTGTGGCTGAACAGTGCGCGCGAGAGCATCAAGGCGGATAACCCGGGCATTGCCGTGACGGAGATCGCGAAGAAGGGCGGCGAGATGTGGCGGGAGCTGAAAGACAAGTCGGAATGGGAGGCCAAAGCGGTCAAGGCCAAAGAGGAATATGCGGTGTCGATGAAGGAGTACGAGGCAAGCGGAGGCAGCAAGTCAAAGGACAAGAAAGAGAAGGAACCGAAAAAGAAGAAGGAAACGAAAAGAGACTCATCCAGTAAGCTAATGAGTGGCAGCTCTTTTAAGAGCAAAGAATACATTAGTGACGACGGCAGCAGCAGCGACGAGAGCAAAAAGTCCGAGAAAAAACGCTCCGATGACGGGGACAGTGCGGACGAGAAAGAGAAAGAGAAAGAGAAAGAGAAGAAGAAGAAGAGCGAAAAGCGACCCGCGGAGGACAACAAAACAGCGAAGAAAAAACGCGATCAGTCGGACGACAGCGATGCGGAAATGCCGGTTGAGAGTACACCGCCCTCGTCCGACGCGGAGTCCAAAGACAGCGATTAACTTGGTTGTGCACCAGGAGGTGCGAGCGAACATTTTTTCTCCCGTTGCATGGCGGACGATGAGCTAAGTCTGCGCATCTTCATCATTACATTTCTTTCATTAGCGAACGAAGAACTTTTCTACTTATACGAATTTACACGGGAACACTTGAGCACACTATTATAAATGTTACGTTTGTAACGTTTGTTAATATTTTAAATATCATATTACGTTAATATAGATACATCAATATGAATGAAAGAGGAAGAGAGACAAAGCGCGAGAGACAGGCGTTTGTGTGTAATACGTTGAAATAGTCGATATCATAGCTTTTGATTGATCGTAACATGTTTTGGAACATTCTTTCGATTAATATATTTTTTCCAGCAAATGATTTACCACATAGTATTAAATGTTTTTTTTGTTTTTCGAACAAATGTATCTTAAAAAAATAATAGGTCAAAGGCAAAAATTGTCTCTATAAATTATATATAGAATATTTATTTCCATATATTACTATTATTTCATATATTATTTAGTACACTACATTCTGTTTTTACAAAAAATAACATGCTTTCTTTCGTACAATTTTGTCTCCAAGGTCGGAAAGAGTTGGGAGAATTCAATAAAAATTACAGACTATTTGAAGTATAAACAAGTTATTCTGCAAATAAGTTTTCTACAGCGTGTAAAATATAGCATGATTTCCGTCACGATACAATTTATAATTTTACTGTTACACAAGTACCATGTGTAAAATACTGCAAGATGTGTAAAACATATAGTTTAGACAACATAATTTTGGCAATGATAAGTACAAGATATGGAACTAGATAATAACTATAACAATAACTATTTATTACAATAATAATCATTTTATTTTCTAGTAAAAAATAACAAGGTATAAGCAAAATAATTGCTTTGTTGTTACTACCAGTGATTTTTAAATGACCCACACTGAATGCAAGCTTGAACGAGGCACATGTTGCGAGCATTTCTCTGTCAACTGTGTGGCTTCCTTTCTTTTTCAGTTTCTAAGTAGTTTGTCTCCACTTCTTTGAGCTCAATATGCTGCTCTTTCATAGCTTTCTAAAACACACAAATGGAAAATTACTGATATTGTATATTCATTTTTGCATTATATTATTTCATGATATTCTTTTCTTAAATAAGTAGTTTACAAAGAATATACTCTGCGAGAAGAGACTCTTGAAGGACTTACCGCTACACAATCTTTATAAACTTTAAGCAAAGAAGCACATATTGAATCGTTGGTGTCCCCTTTTAAAAACTTTTCAGAGAACCAACTATTGAAACAGGCATCGTACTTTTGTTTCAATTCACTGCAATCCTCCATGTTGCACTCTTTCTATCTTTTTCATACGTCATAAGCTCGCAGAGTACCTAAAGATACACAGCAAGATACAATTTTGCTTTAATTACCTTGATACATTGCTGATATACTTTGAATAATTGCGAGCATGTGTTGTCACTCGTATCACCTTTCAAGAATTTCTCGGAAAACCACGTGTGGAAACAAGAGTCATACTGTTGTTTCGCTTCGTTGCACGTCTCACCTATACTGTTCATGAATAAGTCTCGTTACCGCCCTGAAATCAATTCGCAATCCATCAGCTCCAGCTTATGATTCAACGTAGAAAATATACAAACTGTATTTTTTTTGCAAAACAACTACGAAAGGAATACTGTCCTAACCTAAAATCACGACCAAAGCTAAATCGCGTACGATTGCGAGTACTTACTTATGATACAGCGGCTAAGTGATGCAACAAAAATACTTGAAGTTAAGTCGAAGTAGAAATAAGCTGAGTAATCATACACGATGATGCAAACCGTAAGATATGCCGATCACATACGACAGACGAGATCGCGCTTTCCACGAAATGAGGTTATAAGACGCGCTATCCGCTATCAACTTGTGAAGAATTCACATGTTCTTTGTTGCGCAGCCAATCAGCGAGTCTGTCAGGCATTTTCGTGTGCAGTGACTTACCCTTTAATCTCTTCATTTTGCGTTGTATATCGGCTTTTAAGGCACAGTGTCCAGTGAAAATATAGCGAATTTTTCGAAAGATGTCAGATGTACGAACCGTCGAACCGCGCGAATAGCACCTGCTGATCGTTATCATTAATCACCGTCATAAAAACGACAGTGCTCGATGTGTCGTCACGCGATTTTAATTATTTAATCACGATACAACGGAAAACGTCGTGACTACGAATAAATATCGGACTTTGTTTGGATTCCAAGAACACTCGACTCAATGTTGTGGCACTCGCTGATAAGCTTCCAGCACGACGACAGCTTTTAGCTCCCGTCCAGTGGCTTTCCGGAACGATCAACGATGAGCAACAAACATAGTCCGGGTAGGATCACATTGGGGATGATAAAGGGTGAGTATGGACTAAGTATACATACGATATGTAAACTCGTTTGTTATACAACAATCTTTAAATAATATTCAGTAAAGGTAAATACATTTAAAAAGTGACTTCTCTCATTTTTATATTAATATCTTAGTACGTTATAAAAAATATCGTAAGGAAGGCAATTGAAAATGTGTGATTTTCAGCAAGAACGAGCAATTTCAGCAAGTGAAGGATGGCATTGGTTGTTGAGGTGTAACAAAATGAAATTTAATACTGTATCAATCTCTTTTATTTAGCTTCTATTTAAAAAGCCTTTATTTATATTTCTTATAAAATAGCTACATTGTCAGCAACCATTTTCATCTATTTCTGGCAATGTTTAAACTGCTTTCAACACTGAATCATGCAAATTACTTTGTCATATGTATTACATGAATATATAAAAAACATTTTGTTATTGTTGTTGAAAAAATCTTTAGCTTTACAAAATCAATAAATTTGTCTTATATTAAAATAACAGATTCTAAAAATATTAGCAAAGATTCCTGTGTAAGTTTTGAATTTAACTTATCTCATTAAAATAATTCTTTATAAATTTCACTATATATTTTGATTTAAAGGTTGTGTAGGAGCTGTTATTAATCTTTTCAAAACTTGCTTTTAGTATATATTGGAGGGTTCCTTTTTATTATCTTTACCCATTTGTTCTCATATTGTACTCACAGGAACTGACTCATATAAACATACTGTTTACAACAGTACAACTTATGCTATCTCAGAGACTTAAAATTTAAAATTTTATTTCACAATATCTTGAAAATCGATATTCTTATATTAGTTCTTTCTAGAAATCACTTTTAACCATCTTTTCTGCAATATATATTATTGGGAAGATAAAGTGTTCTCTGAATACTTACCTAATTTCTTATCACACATGATAAATCTTTTATTGACTGATTCTCTCTTTATCTTACAAAGGTAAGCCTATTACTACATCTGTGCCAGTAATCCATTACCGAGCCAATGATGATGAGCTGGAGGAATTATATCCAAGTTCATCAGACGATGAGAAACGTCTCACCCCAGAGTCCGACAAGGGAAGAATTCCATCAAGCCCTTCTAAGAGCAGTGACAATGGTCAAGGAATGGAGAACGAGTCGGGGAGACGTTCTGTCGATGGCAATTTATCGGAAGGTACTCCACCATCCTCAGATCCGTGGAAGATGCTATCGGAGATCAAGGGAAAGATCACAAAAACGTTCGAGGAAAAACTCTCCGAGATAAAGAGCGATAAAAAGCAGAAGAAGAAGAAACGAATCAACAAGGACAATTCTAGCATCAGCGATTCTGAGGATCTCGGCGATATCACGCCGACCGACGAAAATGTCAATGAGAAACAGGAGAAGGAGTCGGGTGGGGCTCGTCGTAAGAGTAATACCGCGAGATTCTTCTCCCAGGTGAGAACCGGCTTGAAAACCAAAAACTCTCAGGACGATAGTGTGGAGAGCGGTGTCGAAGCCGCAGAGTTTCCCGAGGATGTTCCTGAGGCACTTCTTCTCGAGTCCCAGGTTGATTTTAATACTGAGGACAAGAGGAGCGACACAACGAGCTATTTGTCCGGCCACTCAGATGATTACGTCCCGAATAAACGGGAAGTGAAATTCAGCGAGTTGCTCTCCCGTTTGAAGGATCACGTGCTACAGCAACTCACGAAGCAACTGACCGCACTGCTATTTTTCGTGTTAGCTTTCTGCTATCTTATTCCGTTGCCCGCGCACTTAGTTGGCTTTTCCATAGGAGTTTTCGCCACGCTGACGGTTTACAAGCTAGTGCAAAAAATCAAAGAGGTCTTAGCGACACCGTTGGAGGATGAGCCTGCGCACACAGTAATGCCGGTATTGGAGATACCGGCGGCAGAGGAGCACGCGGTCCAAGAAAGATACGAAGGATGGTTGAACGAACTGCCGTACACCTACGACCCTAATAACTATCACGTAGCGCGCACAAAATCAGTCTTCTTCAGTCTCGAAGGTGGTATGCTGCGCGTTATGGAGACCAGGATGAAAGTACCAAAGAGAACAGTGTGGGATGAGCCAAAGCGGAAGTACAAGTTTACCAAAAAACGCGTGTACAATCTCACCGGTGCAAAAGTGGAGCTGTTACCGGACGGGCTTATTCGAAGAAGGTAATGTGATATGAAATATATATTGATTTTAAATCAATTTTAAATTATATTAATTGGTTTATTGATATTTATTGAAATATATATTGATTTTTATGCACGAATATGTATTTATAATATATAAATTATATATATTCATAGTATATATTGATACTCGAAAAAAATAATTATGCATTATTAATTTTATATGTACATATGTGTACATATATTATGTATGTATACATAAAGACGACTCTTCTAATTTGACGACCTTAAATTAGTCGCGAGCAGCTTTTGTGAACAAAAGTTTGATAAAAAAGTTGCATAGTACTAATGAGATATTTAATACATTAATAAAAATTTCGCTATCTTGCTTTTTTACTGACGTTATAAAAATCATCTTGAGTTATTTAGAAAGAACATCTTGTATATTTTTATCCTATATAGATATATATTTCTTTTTTCTTACGAGTTGTAGCAGTAATACCAAGAAATAATTATTATGAAGTAATTGATTACATGTTGTAGTCAATTTTTCATAAATAATGCTTTTACTATTTTCTCCTTTACTTCCAAAATTTGCGTTTTGAATTATAAAACGGATTCTCTCTTTGAATAAAGTTATTTGTTTACGCAGGAGATGGAGCAAGAAATATCCAATTTGTATCACGATGGATCGCGGAGCATTGATAGACAGCACAATATTGAACGTTTCGGCGGATGGGCTTGAAAATGAAACTGAGGACGAGAAGAAGATTCTCCAGACGGAAGAAACCAATAAAGAAGGTGATGAAAGCACCTTAGAAGAAACAAAGAGTGAAGATGAAGATTCCAGATTAGAAGCTTTCAAGGACAACGAAGAAGAGGAGTTAAAAGTTGACGAAGACGAAGATGAAGACGACCTTTCGCAATCAAAATCCCTTAGAAGTATTTACGAGGATTGTCACGACGACGAGGAGATTACAAAATATAAGATGTATGTGTTTGCACGCGCCGATCGAGAAAAGGAAGACTGGTAAGACTTTTTCCAAAACGCTCTCTAAATCAGTTAAAACAAACACAAAAGAATCGTGTTAAATTAGCTTCTTCATTTTCGAAATTTGCAATTTATAAAGTTAAGACAGATTTAGAATATATCATTGCCGATTTCGGCGAATGGTTTCTCAGGTTTCGAAGATTGACATTAGCAGCGTCCATTTCGAACAAACGACACTCCACCTGCTCTGTAAACGATTCCATGACCTGCGGAAACTCAACTTTAGCGCAGTCGGATGTGGCAGAAGCGAAATTGCTCGACGTGTCTCCCGAAGTCAGCTACAACACGTATATGAGCAAGTACCTGGACGTAAGCGACGCCGCAATCGAATTAACTCGGGAATCCTTGTATCGCTGATCGAGCAATTGATCTTTCAGATGGACCCTGAGAGTTCTTCTAGAGAGAACGACGTTCTCTGGACGAATTGCCTTCTGGGACGACTGTTGTTTGACATGCACTGTTGCCCGGAAACGATCAATCTCATTCAGGACAAGATCCAGCGTAAGCTCTCCAACATAAAGCTTCCGTATTTCATGGAGAGTCTCCTGGTGTCGGAATTGGTGATCGGACAAGATGCTCCGACGATTCATAAGATTACCAAGCCGATGCTCGACGAACGCGGGCTATGGCTCGACTTGAATATCACCTATAAAGGGTATCTGACGATGACTGTAGAAACGAAGCTAAACCTGATGAAGCTGACGCGCGCGAACACCATTCCCGGTGACGTCGACGAAAAGTCGGTTCCCACTAGGTCACCGATGTTCGACAGCGACGTGGAAGATAGCCCGGAGACATCTACAGAAGACGAAGATGTCGGAAATATCGCGTCGTGCGACCACAAGGACGGCACGTAAGTCGATTCCTAAATCAAGTAACAATCGTTTCAATTCTCAGCTATTCTTCTCTTCTATTCAACCACGCGATTACGAAAATACGAAAATATATAATCAGAGAAATATAATCTTTCTATCAAAGAAAGACAAAAATATAGTCTTAAGATTATATAGACATGTATAATCAATGTTACATGAGGTTTCTGAATATGATCGATATAATAGCTCGTAAATGATACATGACAAACGATAGAATTCCGTGTATTACAGGCCGACACAATCCTCCGGCAAAAAATTCCTCAGCATGGTCGACAAGTTGACAGCCAACAAATATTTCCGACACGTAAGCGAGCAATTTACAACTTGATTAATTAATTAAGTACTCAATTTGATATTTATGTTGTGAAGAAATTGCGTTTAGCTTGCGAATTGGAATCGCTTTTGTGAATTTGTTTTCAATCGGAATACAACGCCAGCTAGGATTCTGTAATTCGTTATTGAAGTTAATGACAATTTCGTTATCGTTGCGCAGCTTTTGTATACCGTAGAAAAGCTGCGCAACGATAACGAAACTGTCATTAACTCCAATAACGAATAGTCTATCGATCCGACAATTGTCGATAAGTAGTTACGAAATAGGGCCCCAGGTAATTTTTTTCTTTGATGAAGTGAACTGAAATGTTCACGAATCGTTAAAAACAAATGCAGAAAATGCACAAGGCTTCCAATCTGAAAGCTAAATCCACCAAGTGTTTGATTTGTTATTACTGATATAATGGTGTAAGCGATTCAACAATGGCCTTAAGTTTTGTCGAACTGATTAATTAAACAAGACAACTATTCTATAGGCCACGGAATTGTCTTACATACGAAGAGCGATGGAGGGTGTCTCTAACATGGAGATTCGCTTTATGGTCAGCGTGTCTGGCATCGAGGGCTGCTTATCGGTGAACATCCCTCCGCCACCGTCTGATCGACTGTGGTACGGCTTCAAGTCAGTTCCGAAGATCGCTCTTACCGTGAAACCAGCTCTCGGCGAAAGGGCCGTCAACATCGTTTACGTGACCAAGTGGATTGAGACCAAGCTGCTCAGGGAATTCGAAAAACTAGTTGTCCTGCCAAATATGGACGATTTAGTCCTACCACTCTGCCCAAATTATCCGTTTGTTGCGACGTAAAAGTGAGATCGTCTTACGTCGGCGAAAAGTGTCTCCTCGTTTAACCTTTTTTTAGTTTTATACTTTCTATTCGTACTGACTTCATATATTCCTTTCTGTGATCATGTTTTTTATACGATCGTGTCAGGAGGTTGGAGAAATTTTTCTTTCCTAATACAACGATTTCATTAAGATTTTCGTGAAAGATATCCGCGAGAGATAAAAAAAATGAGGAGACTTTCGAACTTCGTGGACGAGAATGATGTAGCTCTAGCTATTTTTACACAATTTCTTAATGTTACCGTTATTACGTTGTTTACACACCGCCGAGTGCGTTCAACCTGTTACGTGTTACGCGGGTGTGTTGACAAAGAAAGAGAGGAGAAGAAAGATTGTGATATCGTCCGTTATAAGTTACATTACGGATATTATTTTTACATTTATAAAAATTAATGAAAGAAGGGGAGGGGAGATTAGACTCGCTACGAGTGAGTGTTGTTTTTAGAATATTACAAAAAAAATATAGTGAACGAAAGGGAGTAACAGAGATAGAGAGAGATGCATAGAGAGAAGTAAAATGATTTAATCAATGTTAAGTGCAAAACTTGCTGCAGATTGTTTAACTGTACAAGTGTAAATATTAGAAATCCGGTGCCAGCCGTCGCGTTATTCTAGAAGAAAAAGAGATACGTGTCGATGTTTGTGTGACCGTTTAATTAATTATTTAATCACGTGGCAGCTGATGAAGATGTATTTTGCTAATTTATTGTTAAAATACGGGTATTATCGAATGAATTACAATGAAATCAAACAATCGGCAAATTTGCCAAGTGATCGACGAAACTGTCGAAAAGTTGAGAATCATATGTATAATATGAAATAAAAACAACCACGAAGTAATAGAATCCTATTTTCGCTTTAGCAATTGATTTTGCAACTGCATTGGCCGAGCGAATATTGTGATTAACGATCGGCAAAGTGTGTAAAGGAGAAATATGCGTTGGTACGTTTTATTTGGAAAAATAAAACTCAACAGTCGCTTAAAATTAAAGTTTCGAGCAAACGCGAGCTAAGACATCAATTTTACGAATGAATCATTATAATACGAGAATGCAGAATCGTATTATGTTTACCACGTGCGAATTGTAATGATTAAACAATACGTAAATTTTTATTTCTCCATAAATAACTGTGTTGCTGGGTGTCCCAGCAGAAAGATTTACTCTCCGTCTCTGTTCGATCGGCCGCTGAATAAATGCTTCTGCTTGTTCTGCTAGTTTCTGCTTCGTTAATACTATTCAACGATATTAAGTTCAGCTTACATCTAGCGTGATATCGGTCGTGAATAATGGTAACGTTTGTTGCAACGACTCTCGAACGCTGTCGCAAATTCACCATAAAAGTTGCCTCAACTTCAACTCTTACGATCTACGACGTTTGCCTGACTTTAACAATAACGAATTAGATATTTTTTAAGAGTGCTTTGAAAATATCTATTTAACATCTATTTAAGGCGATTGATGATAATTCATAGACAACGTTTCTTTTCTTATGAGTGATATTACGATTGATGTAGATGGATCTTTAGACGGAAAAAAGCGTAGAAACGTTCATGGA